CCTTGAGGCTTGAGTTGAGCAATTTCTTGATCTTGTGTAGCTATAATTTCCTTGTACTCCTCACATTTGATTCTTATTTTTAAATCATTTTTATCAAATTAAACTATTTTATTGAATCCTATCAACAAAGTATACAACTTACAAGAGGCACACCATGTATCAGTAGTTTGTCAGCATGCCTTTTCCATTCAGTTGATTTGGGATTACAATGTCCATTTCTGTCCTTAATTGCCTCCAGGGCTCAACACTAATCAGTAGCCAACTAGCCACACACTAGTAGAAATCCAGTTTTGGCTCATGGTTTTCGATCTCCACCAGCCAGTCTAGCTAGTAAGCAAACTGAAATTGTTGTAACATCTAAGTTGTCACAAGCCACTTGGCTAGTAAGTTGAAAAGTTACCAGGGTTGAGCCCTGACGTTAATCATGACTTTTTCAAAAATATTTTAGGAAAATGGATTGTATTTAAAGTAGGTGGCACGATTTTCATCAATGTCATGCTTCCATGATGAAAAACCGAGCCATTTTTGTAACATTTCAGAGCTAATTCATTCAGATTTGCATAGGAAAGCAAAATCAAACAACTTAGCTTCATATCACAAGATGATTAAAACAAAAAAGTGCTCAGACTCACCACTTTTAAAAATGATTGTGCACAAGTAAAAGGTATCCCAATACTGTGCCTCTTTACGGCCATCTTCCCTTGTTCTAAGGTCGTCGTCAGTTTTGATGTCCAAAATACCGTCGTCTACAAACTGAACCAAGTAGTACACTGTACAAGCAGGAAAGAAACATAAATTAATAGAAAGTTTTACATCTTAAAAAGGAAAGTTAAATAGTATGAATTGAAAGTTTTACTTCAAATACGTGCTCCTAACTGTAAAAATATAAAGCCCTAATTTTGACATGAAGTTATGTACAGACAAATAGAGAGTTACTGTCTTCCTTTTCAAGTTTTGTGGTCTCTATTTAATTAAATCACCCGCGGTGAGTACACGTGGCCTGAATTCGAAAATGAGCGCGAAAGCAATGAATAGACATTTCAATTTGCAAATCAACCACAAGAAAACTAAATATATTTCATTTCTGCATTGTAAATACAATTTGAAAAATATTTTGGGCCAGAACAATAGATTTCAAAAGACCTGCAATCTATTCCTGGAATATGTTTCACAACAAATCGAATATTTGAGACAGAATCAACTGGTGAACGCGCGATCGCTATGCTCTGATCGCTTTAGTTCATGGCGAAGTTATGAACCCAAGGATAAACAGTTATCGAATTTAAGTGATAAAAATCCTTTATGTAGGGCAAATAGCGAATTTTAGTCTACCCTGACGATGTAAGCTTGATAATTTATGGATAAACAGTCCGACGTGCTTCGATTCACTTATCATAACAAAGAATGGTAATTCAGAGTTAACACAAAAGGTCACAAACCTTGATCCTCCAATCGTTTGGGAGCCTTGTTTGACCTTCTAGAGGTGGTACTACCTTTCTCTGACATGGTTAGGGAACGATAACTATTCAAAAACGGACTGTTGCTTCCACTGTAGCTTTCTACTGTAGCTGAACGACGGCTAGCTTAGACCGACTTGACCTTTGGTACACGAATATTTCGCGCTCTTTCTTGGAGATGCGTGCGCATCCGGTGAAGGGGCATTGTGGGTCATTCATGTCAAAGGGGTCATTTCAGGTCAGCGATCGAACAAACATGGCGGACCACAGCAAGAAAATCAGAGGTCCATATTTCGTT